CGCATGCGACGCTTCAATCCGTTTGACGTTTGTCGGAGCGTTTCGTAACCTCACTGTGCAATGCTCATCTTGCATAATTTCTTACGTAAAAAGTATTGCTTGTACGGAAAAAGCTTACAGAACATTTTTTATGTTAAATTTTCCATTCTTTAATTTTTCTCTCTTGTACTTTCTTCGTAAAATCGATATTTAACGAGATATTTGCAAAAAACCGAGATTTGAGCCCTATTTGTTTAATTATTTTTCTTAGCGGCCACTGTACAATGGTAAACTTTTGTCTTCTTCAATCTTACGTAAAAATGAAGGTCTGTGCAAAAATTTAGCTGGTATGTATTTTTTCCGAGAGCAAATCCTAAAGTTACTGTACTAATGGATAGTTTTGACAGTTTCGAGACAGTTTTGTCAGCCTCATAATTGCCATGTTAACTCGAGTTCTCTCTTATATCCTTGACAACATGTTTCAAAGACGCACCGAAGAACATTACAGCATGATGGGTCCAGATATACTCGACCATGTTGAACTCTTGAATTAAATGAATTCTTTTCTCACCTCATTTCTGAAAACATTCTTAAGAGTTCAAAACGAATTTGCTATTTTACCAATTCTGAACTCTTTGTCAAATAAGAGCGGAATTCTTTGTGAGAATAATTTATTTTGAAGGCTAGAAAGGAATTCTTTTGAGTTTATTTGTGAAAAATTTCACTAATCTATAAAGAATTTTAAAAAGTGAATCGTTTTCTGAGTTCACAATAATCACCTGTACTATATATGGATACTTATTATTTTCAGGTATTCGATGGCTTGATGCAAACTTATGAAGAAGCTGACGATTATAACCCACATGAATGGGAACAGTACAGCGTAATTTATATGTCGTATTTTACGTATCTGTGGGGCGTTAACGCATGTGAGACAGTAGTAAAAACCAAGTCAGCGAAAGAGCTCGTGGAAATGGTTAAAACTGTCGAGTTTGACGTTATAGTGCAGGATATTACTTTAAGTCAATGTTTGTATGGATTATGGGAGGTAAATCTAGTATTGGTGAACTGTATTGTCTAGTCTATCTTTAAGTTTTTTTAAGGTAGTTATTCCACAGAATTCACTTATGTGACAATTTTTTAAACTTTGACAATTTAGTCTTTGAATTAATGCGTATAGAATAAATCCAATTAAATTAAAATTGATCGTCTCACAGTTCTGAAAAATAATGTTGAAATTGACCGTTTTTTGACACCTAACGCTTATATCAAACGCATACCGATGGCATGTTTTAGTTTTCTAATTTAACGACGTACGAGATTCGTGTGAAAAACAATATGTCACGAAGCAAGATGAGACGAATAATTGAAAAAAGATCAAAATTATTGACTGTTTCGTTTCAACGATGTGGACTACTCTACTTGATGCTACGAATGCTTTAAAGCGTTCTTTTTCTTTTTCTTTTCAATAAAGAAAGAAGGAAAAGAAGAACGCTTCGAGGCATTTGTAGCATTAAGTGGACTGCAGTCATACAGTTAAAACTGAAAAGTTGGAACAGTTACTCCCAATTAGTAAGTATGAGATTAGTGTGACAACAACGCATTTTACTTTAATCTTCGTAATCTTTTGAGTTTTCTTTATATCCAGTGTCAATCGTCAATGTATTTTTCAAACGGTATTACATCATGGTATAATGTAGTGCTCTGTTCTTGCCTGGAATAAACTTTTGAGCGTGACTGTCGGAATAACTATCTTAAACGTTATATCAAGGTTATCTTGCAAATGAAGTTTGTGCATCGAATAGGAAATGTCTAGTCATCGCTCATTACCTATATCAACGATGACCTTCACATTTAGCTTGCACTTAAGGTTACATTGGACGTATTATCTCTTCCAAAAGTTAATAAACAAAATCAGAAAATTAAAATTTGTCAAAATGTGAATTCTAATCAATATACAGGGTATCCCATTTTAACTTGGACAGTAAAATATCTCGAAAACTGAGCCCAGCAGACAAAAATGTTTCAGACAAAAGTTGTTTGGTTTCGAGGGGACCATAAGATGGTACCATCGGTTTGACCTTGAAGAATTATTTGAAGGTCACATAAAGGTCATACCAATTTTTTTAAATGGCATTCCCTATTTTTTATTACATATTCTTGTAGCTGACCTCGAGAGCTTTCCAAAACGCTATAATAAAGTATTTTTATTAAGAACTTTTTGAGTTATTAAGGTTTGAAAGTTCCAATATTTTGACATAAATTACAAAATATCTTGTAAAATATTCATTTTTTATCATCTTACCTTAATACTTTTTTGAACAGAATAATGATACAAATCAACTGGTGTAAAGAAAATACACAATTGTTAAAAAAAAATTTTTTTTATTACTTGTTACAAAATTGTGTTTTCTTAACACCGGTT